AGTAGATCTTGTATGTTTTGATATACATATAGCTAGTTTTCGATAAGAAAATCATTTTGTTCGGCATGCGGCGAATTTACAAATATTTTGGATTGAAATGATTTGAAATAATTTCAGGTTTGTCCATGGATACAAAGCTTCAGGTTAGTAGTACATGAATTTTTGGGGGCTACAGGGAATAACGCGATGGCAAATGGCATGTGTTCATTACTACTCATTTCAGAAGTCTATTCTCCCGTCTCGGGTTTCCATGCTAATCAAGAAATTATTTTTTCCTAAGTATTTCTGTATTGGATAACATAGACACAGCGATTAAATATCAACTTAAAAGTTACTAATTAATCCTGTTTATTAACAGGACATATAATCGGACACTAACCTATATATATGGAATGAATTCATAGGAAGCGTAAATTCGAACGGAAATAAATGTTAAATCCTTCGATGGAGTAATTTAAAAGGTCCGAAATATTTCTTCCTTCTCTTATCGCCTCGCCCTCCCTCCTTCCCCCATCCTTTTCCCTTCCTCACTTGTTTTATGATTTCTCTCATTGTAGGACATACTTAAGAACGATAAATTTGAAGCAATAACTCGGTTGGAAACRGCTAGTCTAGAGTATCCTCAGATACTTTACAGCCATAAGCAACGTCTTTGTAAAAAGCTTCCCAATTTTCTAACAGAGGTGTGTTCCATGGTCAACATGCCCTCCAGGTCGGCTTGCGAGCAAATGAAAGACCTTTGCTGCAAGGGGAAATTCCCAGCTATTTCCTGTGAATTAGGAACATTCACAGTCCATTCGCTTTCCCAGTTGATTAGAATACACGATCTCCGTGACGTCAAGAGCGCAGTAATTAGTGAGCAAAAGTGGCTCTCTAAACAGATCAATGTTCCAAATGAAGCCTGTTGCATTTCAAAAGAGCTTGCTAAAGTTTTTACCGATAAGATCTTTCATACACCAGATGTAAGTATCGTTCTGGATAATAACAGCTATATCCTTGCATCCGATTTGGCAACAGTTGCTGGAAATGGATGGGTTCACTTCAGCATTATGCTGGGCATAGCTGAAATCCTCAATCGTCAAAGCTGTCAAACAAGTGCACTGATGGTCAATGATTTGGTTATGATGAATGAAGATAATCTGAACGACTACGTCGATACCCATATCAGTCCTACCGTCAAATATTTGATTCTCTTTGCAAATGTCGGGAAAACTGGCAACGGGGATTTTTTTTTTCAGCAATCCAGGGCAAAAAGGCAATCACTGGACTTTGATTTATATTGACCTCACAGTAAACAAGTGGTTTTACTGCGACCCAGCTTCCTGGAACATGCCGGCCAAGATCAAGGGTGTCTTATCACCCATTGTGCAAGCAGTTTATGGGAAAGTCCATACCAGAAGAAAGCCTTTCAAAAGTATTCAACAGGCTCACGTGCACAGCGAAAAAGCCCCATACAAATGCACGAGAAGTTGCCTAAAAAACATGCCTTTGCAAACGTGTGCGAATATATGTGGAGTTGCAGTGGCCGTCATGGGAGGTATTGCATRTAACGCTCCTACACTATGGAAAGATGTTTTCCTAAATCGGCATGGCACCCTTTCATCTGGTCTGACCTGGTTGATGTCTCCGTCTAGCCATTCAGATTTTTTAAGGCACACCATCATCTCATGGCTCTTGACAAATTCGATCTCTTTGTCAGTCATGGGAATAGTGCAAGAGAAAGTGCCGCCTCCATCTGCATCCCCTGTTGTTAGCAGTCTGAGTGCGCGTACTAAATTCAAGGCCCCAGATGTCGTGATAATTCCAGACGATGATTTGCCTGAAGATGATGTTGATGAACGTGAAATACAGGAAGAGACGCAGGGATGGCAAACAGTAAAAAGAGGACGTAAGAATGTAGCAGCAGCGGCCAAAACCAGACCTAAGAGAAAAAGGATGGGAATTGATGATGTAGCATGGAAGGAA